TTGTTTAGATCAATTGATGGTGGGGCAGCTTTTGGTTTCCCTGATTCACCTGAAGATGCAACCAAGGTTGGCCTTGTGAGTGGCAAGGACAATATCATTGACCGAAGTATTCAGGATGCCTACATTAATGCTATCCGACGAGCGAAGAATTACATCTATATTGAAAATCAGTATTTCCTCGGAAGCTCCTTTAACTGGAGTCATGATGACATCAAGCCTGAGGATATTAATGCTTTGCATCTGATTCCAAAAGAACTTTCACTTAAAATTGTTAGCAAGATCAATGCTGGAGAGAGGTTTACAGTTTATGTTGTTCTCCCCATGTGGCCGGAAGGAATCCCAGAGAGTGCCTCAGTTCAGGCAATATTAGATTGGCAGAAGGACCATGGACATGATGTATAAAGATATCGTTGAAGCTCTCAGAGCCAATGGTCGTGAGGAGAATCCTAGAAACTATTTAACATTTTTCTGCCTTGGGAACAGAGAGGTTAAGAATAGTGGAGAATACGAACCTTCTGAAAGACCAGAGGCTGATACAGATTATGCCAGAGCCCAGGAAGCCCGTCGTTTCATGATCTATGTTCATGCAAAAATGATGATTGGTAGGTGATGAGATTCTCTTTAGTTTTTTGTTATGTTTTTTCTTTTAGTACCTACTTCTCATTTGACTTTGTTTTGGGCTCTGCAGTCGATGATGAATACATAATAATTGGATCAGCCAACATCAACCAGCGATCTATGGATGGTGCCAGAGACACCGAGATAGCTATGGGAGCCTATCAACCATATCATTTATCAGTTAGGCAACCAGCACGAGGTCAGATCCATGGTTTCCGTTTGGCACTGTGGTATGAGCACCTTGGCATGCTTGATGATACATTCCTCACACCAGAAAGTGAAGAATGTGTCACTAAGGTGAACCAGATTGCCGACAGATATTGGGATCTATATGCAAGTGAGTCACTTGAGCGAGACTTGCCTGGACACCTGCTCCGCTATCCCATCGGCGTTTCTAGTGATGGAACCGTCACTGAATTGCCAGGAACTGAGTGTTTCCCAGACACGAAGGCCCGTGTTCTTGGTGCCAAATCCGATTATCTCCCACCTATCCTCACTACTTAGGGGATCTTTGCTTTGTTCTAAGTTATAATAGCTTACCTTGTCTGGTTCAGTGGGTACTCTAAATCTTGTGTGTTCTAGTCTGCAGAGTCCCAGTGTTGTGTTGCTTTTGTTTTTCTCCTACGTATTGCTCATATCTGAACCTAAACAACTGTGATACCGTGGTGTGATTTTAGTGCTGACTGGTATAATAAAACTAGTATTGTGTTATCTGATCGTTTTATGTTTTATGCGGTTATTGTTGATCATCTATTAGTTTTGGTTTGTTTAAATTTCTGATTGAAATCTTGTGATTTCATCCACAACTTTCTCATGGTTCATGCAACAATTTCTTAGGCCTTTTGAATATACTGATTGACAACCAGAAACTATTGAAAACACTGAACCTGAAACATTGATTTCTGGTTCATATTATTTCGATGGTTGATTGGAGTCTGATAATTATCTACCAGGAAAGAATGGTGATTAGGGGTAGTCCCCAGTCCCATCCCTTTCAAAAATACAATCTTTTTACCATTATCATATACCACTGTAATCTTTTTATTTTTTTATTTAAATTAATAGTTGATAAGCTCGTAAAATTACAAAAAGGGTCGAATCATTGGAATTGAATTATTTTTTTTCCTAACAGCAGCAGAGACAAAGACAGATGTGGAAGATTGTTGGGTTGCATGAGGAGGAAGGTTCCTACACGTTGATCAGAAGAATGTCAAAATCTTGTGTCGGGTCGAGGCTTCACATCGCTGATTCAAAACGTGGTGCTCGGCTGGTATGCTCAAACCATCTGGCCACCACGTGGAACAACTCTTTGCCTTCTGTCTTTATTAATTGGAATAATGCCCTAAATAGCCCCAACGTTTACCAAAATTATTATTTTTACTTTTATTTTTTGTTTGCAGCATTTTAGCCCCCAACGTTTCAATTTGGGGAAAATCCCTCTATAGATAAAACCATTAGTTATCACCATTAGTTATCACATGATTAACACTCCAAAATAGAAAACTTTTTAATCTAAAATAAACATTGAGGGCTAAAATGCCCAAAAAAAAGAATAAGGAACAAAGTGATTATTCTGTCAAATGTTAGGAGTTTTTATATCCTAAAATAAAATATTGGGGCCAAAATACTCCAAAAAAAAATAGAATATATGACAAAATGACTATTTTGATAAATGTTGGTGGTCAATTTTAGTATTATACCTTATTAAATTTAAGTCCACCAAATTCAAATTTTAATTAAATTTCAAAAATATTAATAATGTATAACCCATAATTTTCTATTAATTTATAATGTCAATTTAAATATGAAGGGGAATGCATTCAGAATATTCGAATTATATTTATTAATGTTCTTTTTGAAGAGAGGAAATTTGAGAAAAGAAGAAAACTTTTTAAAGATAACCTGAATATAGAGAAGAAAATGTGAGTTTGAAGATGCTATGATAAAAAGAATAAGTTACCTATAATCTTCTCTTTAAATAGAATTAAGAAAATGTAAAATTTTACCTAAAATCTCCTCCCTCAGACACATCAAGACACACACTTCCTCGTTATGGAGTTGGAATCGAAGACTGACAAATGCATACGACTTCCTCAAATCAATTCTCATTAAAACTGAGACCTGAGGTGCGTAATCTCTTCTCTTCGGGTGTTAATTCAGCGAGTTCCATATGGGATTCTATCCGGGGAAAAAAGCATAAGGTCTCATGACAAAAATTTGTATGGTTTCCACTACACATACCTAAATATAGTCTGATAACTTGGATGACCCTTCTAGATAAACTCCCAACCAAGGAACGACTTCACCGAATTGGGCTTATCAATGAAAGTTCATGCGTCTTATGTAACTTTGAAATGGAAACACGTGAACACATTTCTTATTATGCCCAACTGCTGCTTTTTTTGTGGGAGCAAATCTTCTCTTTCTGGTTTGGTTTTTACAGCCTGCTCTTGGGATGTTTTTTTGGCTATGGCGTGCACTAAATGGAAAGGAAAGTCAATGATATCCATTGTTATGAAAATTGCTTTGAACGCACTGATTTATTTGCTATGGAAAGAAAGGTGCCGAAGACAGTTTCAAGGTCGATCAAGGACTGCTACTGCTTTGCTAAAGATCATCAAAGAAATTGTATGTATTCAACTTAAGGGTAGGAAATTCAATAGAGTAGATAATGTGAATATTACTCTTTACAATCATTGGGGTATAGAAGATCACTAATTTTTTTATGTAATTGTTTGTTATACGAACACTAATTGTATTTTGTAGCATTTTGCTATTTGGATAATAAAAATCTGAATTATCCAAAAAATTCTCATTAAAAAATTAGTCTTAAATTATGTGATTGCCGAGTGTTCCTTCACCTAAGAGGGACGAGAGTTACATTGGCTCATTATTTTTCTTTTAGTAAGCTCAAAGATCTCACAAAATTTAATGTCGGAATGACACGACCCTCGACGCTTTATGATCCATCAACTCTAGAGCAGAATCGTAACTCTTAAGCAAATCTCCCTCCACTCAAACAAGATAGCTTAACCCACTTTGTCACCCTCGTCGACTAAACCCTAAACCCTAAACCTAAAACAACCTATTTGTATACTATATTCATAATAATTCACTAATGCTATATAACCCGAATGATAGCAAGTATATAAGAAGCTCCACATCTCTCCTAAAGAAGAAACCCCTAAAATATTCAAGCTCTCTTCTTTTCTCTCTCGACCTCAGGTATACGAGATTAAGTTCAGATCATGATCTTACCTCTGATAATTATGCATCGTAACTCTCCATCTAAACTAAAGGAGGTGAACCGTCATATCCAACCACTACCTTCATCTCCCAATATTTATCATCAATAGTTGTCTTTTTCTTTTATTAGTTATAAAAATGTTTTAAAAAAATCAAGAGATCTTTTTTTTTTATAAATCTAACGTGAATACAAGATAATATAATAAAGTATGATTCAAAGTTTTCGTCTCTACACACTTGGCACAACTAACCTCTAGTTCACACCCTTTCTTCATTAAAGGACTTATGTAAGGGATAAAACATTAAAGACTCCTCTACAAAAATTTACTGACTTTTGATAAGAGTCGAACACTACAAATATATTGATGGTACGTTTATAATTATTTAATTAAAAAAATGTTAGTAAAAGTTAAATTAATTTGAACAAAAAAAGAATTCTAACTAACAAAAATAATTAAATATATTTCCTTAATAAAAGTTTTCTAACCAATGTGAACAAATTCTTTTCCTAACCGGACAATTAAGAGATTACATTAGAATGTTTGGTTTTTTTAATACGCTAAACAATTTAATTCACACATTCCCAATTTGATTAATTTATTCTGACAAAAGAAGATAAAAAGGGTAAACTACACTTGTGATATCTAAATTATTTATTTTGTTTCATTTTAGTACCTAAATTTTTTTTAAAATCATACCTAACGTTTAGTTTATGTTTCAATTTGGTACCCATCGTTAAAAAATTAACATAATTATTGACGTGAGATTTTTATTTTTTCAATGATGAGGTAGAGTTATCTTTCGATAATATGTCAATGTCATCATTAAAATTTTAAAGGCATGGTATCAGATTGAAATCTAAACTAAATATTAGGTACGATTATTAAAAAAATAAAATTTAGATATCAAAACAGAATAAAAATAATAGTTTAGAAGATAAACGTGTAGTTTACCCAAATAATAATTATTTTGACACTTTTCTTCGTTCTAGAAGTCCAAGGACTCTGTTGACGCAAAGAGCTTTGCCTTGTTCATGTGGTGCTCTTCTTCTTCTTTCTTTCTTTAACGCCTTATAAAAGCTGAAATCATGCCGGACAACTCCAGATTCTCACGCCTATTTCTTTTTCTTCTGTCTTTCTTCAACGCCAACGGAGGCTGAGTTCGGCGCCGGCCGCCATGTCGTCGGGGATATGTTCACAGGGTTTGGTCTTGGCCACCGCCATGGTTGTTTCCAGCACCTTTATTTTCCTTACTTTTTCAAGGAAAAAACCATCGTCTTCTTCGAAACAAACCCTTCGTTCTTGCTTGTCTTCAGGTACTGCTTCTTGGGTTCTTTTGATTTTTTTATCTTTTCGTTCTTTATGTCTTGAGTGATTGATTTAATGTTTTTTTTGGGGTAGATGGAAAGAAAAGGGACAAGAAGAAGAAGAAGAATAAGAAGGTGAAGTTTGCTGAGAATGTGAAGGAAACAAGTGGAGATGGGGAAGAGTATAGGAAAGAGCAGCAGAAGAAGTTGATTGCAGGAAGATCAGGATCGAAAGTTGACGGAATTTGCAGAAACCAAATGCCGGCGAATAGGGTTGCTTTGTACAACGGAATTCTGAGGGACCGTGTTCATGTTCATCGAATGGGGTGTTCGTACTGATTACTGTGATAAGTTGTCTTTTCTGAAACCTTCTCTTCTCCCTTTGATCTCTTTGGTAGAATGTAAACAGATAGAACTTTGTCCAAATTTATGAGTTTTTGAATGAAGATTTGGGCAAATTTTGTAAATTTGTGCCTTTTTGGGTTTTGAATTTGAAAATGTTAAGTAATTCCTAGTTCAATTTTCAATTCAAAAACTGTACTTTTGAGGCCAGAATCTCAGGGCTTCTGACGCATCAATGAATAAGAAAAGATTGTTGGGAGAATTGAAACTGTCCCAAATTAACCACCCCTATGTCAGATGCAGAACAAATGACAATAAAAACTATTGGTCAATATACACACCAGACATGTGATTAGGATTTGATTGATTTTAGGGTAAATTATGTGTTTAGTTTCTAAATTATTAGTTTTAATATGTTTTAGTATTTAAAGTTTTATTTTTTAAAATCATATCAAATGTTTAGTTTTTGTTTAATTTTAACTGTGTCATTAAAATCTTAACGGATGGGTAGATTGAACAAAGATTCGGTGGACGGATGAATTTATATGTAGCGTGCAGTTTCATTTTTCTTCAAAGTGAAGATGAATTTAACGCAGCACTGGACCACTCCAAAATGAAAATATGCGCCACATTCTTACCGCGTTGGATATGCCCTTACCCGAACCCCTTTAGCCGACTCATCCTCGTTATTCCAAAAGAAACTCATGCACATTTGGTTAGTCCTGTCAACGACCACGTTTGGCCGCACCAATTGCCTACACCAGTAGGCTTTTGAATGCACAAGTGATCAAAACATTATTCTCTTGAATTTAATGACAAAAAGTCAACGGCATTCCATCGATATTTAATTAATTTGAAGTAAGTAAAATGTACTATTTGTTTAAAGATACTATATAATCATTTAATATTGAACATTCATACTCCTAATATTCATGGTGTTTAAACTCGAGATCCCAAAAACAAAAATAAATTACCACGAAATTCACTTGATTCATGCACTAATATATATTTGAATTTTTTTATGAGAAAATAACCTCAGTGACCAAAAATTCCATATAATATACGATTTTAACCAACTTTTTCCGGATTTGCCAAAATGACCAACAAAATCGCAATGCGATCGCTAATTCGCAACGCGATCTCCATTATCGCAAATCAGTTTCCAGATTCGCAACGCGATTATGACTATCGCAATGCGATTTTCCAATTTCGCGTTGCGATTTTCCCAATTCGCAATGCGAATAAGTAAATCGCAATGCGAATTTGGAAAATCGCAATGCGATACTGACTATCGCAACGCGATAATACAAAATCGCAACGGGATACTGACTTTCGCAACGCGATACTGACTTTCGCAATGCGATTCGGACTTTCGCAACGCGATTCTGACTTTCACAACGAGATTCTGACTATCGCAACGAGATAATACAGAATCGCAATGCGATTTTCAAAGTTCGCAACAGGTTTTAGTTTCGCAACACAAATTTTTTGTGTATATATCTACGCAGCAGCAACAACTCATAACCTAAATCCCTAAATCGCAACTCATTCCATCTCCATCTATCACTCTCTCCGGTGACATCCGTTCCTATATCCGTTCCTACATCCTTCCCCATCTGGCAACAGGTCTTAGTTTCGCAGCTCGTTTGTTTAGTAAATTAATTTACAACCATGAAATCATCTAATGTTGATCATGTTTGGATAGATTTGTGTTTTGGAGGGTCATGGGAGAATGTTCATGGTGTTTTACAATATATGCCTTTACCCATGAATCTTCAACTAAAACTGTCATTAAAAAGTTAACTTATGAAACTCTAATGTTACGTGTTTCAAAGAAATTGAATTTAGAGCCCCTAAGTGGATTTAGGCTATCTTATCAGAGAAATGGTAAAGTTTATTTGTTAACCGACAATGAAGATGTTAACGATTCATTGCTTACATTAGTGTTTCAAGTGATGATGTTACATTGTATGTTGTTGAACCTAGAAGTAGTATTGTTGGGTCAGTAGCGGGTAGTAATCAACTAAGTTTTTCTCAAAACCCACAACCTTTCTCTAATCCAAATCCCAATCAACTTTCAGCACCAAATTTCGATTTTCGTATTGACAATTAGACGATGATAAGCCAACAGAAAAAATTGTGAGTACTAGTCAGTATTCAAATTTGATCTTGGTCAATACCGGACTTTGATATTGGTCAATACTCGGATTTTGATGATGTTTCAGAAGAAGAAACAGACCCTACGTGTAATGATTTTGATATTGGTCAATACCCGAATTTTGATGATGAAACAGCCGTTGCCGAGGAAAATGTTGTTGATGATAATGAGGAGGAAGTTACGACTGTGAATGAACATGTTGAACATCCATTCTGTAATTCATATAATCCTGAAGAAGAAAAAGAAGAAGAAAAAATCCCCGAAGAAAAGAAAATGCCACGGGAGTATAACTGGAATATGCCAGAATTACTTCAGATACCGGAAGAAGAGTTGGTAAAGAAAGCAGTTGATTGTTACACAAAAGTTATTCGTATCAAGAAAGATGATGTTTGATACAAAGGAAGACTCGAAGATAGCTTTGTATACGAAATGTGTGAAAGATGGCTATCAACTAAAAGTTAACAAATCAAGCAAAGATCGTTTCGAAACAAGGTGTATGATTGACAAAAAACTGTACGTGGCGTATGATTGCAAAGAGGATAAAAGATTGCGAAATGTTTCAAGTTAGGACTTTTATGATAAACATACATGTTCAAGAACCCAAGTTTTTCCTCACCATAGACAGGCAAACAAAAAGGTGTTGGGTGGTTTTCTGGCTGAGTTAATGTTTTTGAATGGCAGGGTATATCGGGACATGAAATTATGACTAACATGATGCTCGGTTCAAGATTAGTATATCATATTCTCAAGCTTGGAGAGCCAAATGTTATGCCTTGGAATTGTTGAGGGGGTCGCCAGAAGCATCGTTTGCCCAACTGCCGGCTTATTGTCACAATTTAAAGCTGAAAATCATGGGTCGGTAACTCATATCAAAACAGATAGAGATGGACGCTTTGAGTTGTGTTTATCGCCATTGGTGCTGCGGTTAGTAAATCAATATAATTCTGTTGACTCATTTTGTTAGTTACATGCATTTCACATTTAAATGATTATATTTGTGTATATATTTTGTAGATTCGTTCGTTTATTACTTGCATGCACCCAGTTATTATAGTTGACGGAGCACATTTGAAAGGTCGATACCTTGGAGTAAACTTATTAGCAGTAGCCATGATGCTAACAATGGGATATTGCCAATAGCTTACGGGGTTGGCAAATCTGAAACCTCTGATTCATGGACATGGTTTATGGGGCATCTTAGGGATTGCATAGGTCCTATTAGCAATCTGACAATCATATCCGATAGGGCAAACTCAATTGACAACGATGTTAGAAGGTGTTTTCCAGATGCTTTTCATGGACTTTATGGTGTTCATTTGTATAGAAATCTAAAATCAAGGTCTGCTGGTATAAAAAATCATAAATGGACATACTGGAAGGCTGTAAAAGCTTATCGGAAGTGGATTTTAATAAGCATATAAACTGTTAAGACGTGTTTTGCCTCAGTGTGCTCAAACACTAGAAGATGTCGGGTTTGAAAGATGGTCAAGAGTACATCAACTTGGAGCAAGATATGGTTTCATGACGTCTAATAGTGCATCAATCAACGCTCTAAGTCGTCATTCCCAGAAATTACCATTACTATGTTAATGGAGTTTTTTGAGCCTCTATTCAACAGTGGTACTACAAGAAAAGAAACCATGCAAGGTATTATTTCTTTAAATTTGTAACTTGTCATATATTTTACTAAGTATTATTTATTTAAATTTACAGGAACATTGGAACATCGTGTTACACCATGGACAAAAAAAGATAACGAACTGTTGTGAAGTCAACGTCATGGAGAGTTGAACCATGTTCAAACACTTTGTTTGAAGTACTGGATAATAACTTAAATGGGCTTGTAGATCTAAATGCAAAGACGTGTAGTTGTATGAAATGGCAAACATCGGTATCCGTGTGACCATGTTATAAAAGTTTCTCTTCATCTAAACCAAGATGATTCAAGCGCATACGCTATGGATTGCTACACTACAGAAGTATATCGACAGACTTATGGCGAGATTGTCTACCCTATTCCACATCCTTCTGAGTGGGACATACCAGATGACATACAAACAGTTTTGCCACCAGCCATGGATAGAAGGCTACCTGACCGACCAAAAAGTCACGATCGTATACCGTCTAAGGGTGAAGAGAAGAAGAGATCGACATGTAGTCGGTGCAAGGAAAGTGGTCATACAAGGTTGACATGTGGATCACCAGTGCCATCACAATCATCTTTTCCTCTACCAAAATATGGATCCTCATCAAAATTCAAAGCTCATATGGTGTCAAGAAAAAGGCAATCAAAATCGCAATCATCTTTAAAATCCCAATCACAACTGGCTTCACCTTTTGGGACTGTTAACTTAGGTGATTTTTAAATGCAAACGTTGTATTATGTAGATTTTATGTATGAACTTTTAACATTTTCAGTTAGGCATGTATTAGTAACTTGAGTTTGAAAATTGCTATGATCTGTTCAGTTGTTATCACTTATTAGGCAATCATTTGACTATCGCAACACGTAAATGACGTTCGCAATCATCTTAATGTCTATCGCAACGCGGAAATGACTATCGCAATGCGAAATGAAAATCGCAACGAGAGAATCGCAATGCGAAATGAAAATCGCAACGAGGGAATCGCAAAGCGAAATGAAAATCGTAATGCGAATTTAGTTTCGCGTTGCGATTTTGTCGTTGCGATTTTCATTTCGCGTTGCGATTTTCATTTCGCATTACGATAGTCATTTTTGCCTTCAGCATAATGCAGATTGAAATCAACAAAATCAACCATTATATTTCAATCAATTAAACAAGCACAAATAAGAATTATGTTCACATCAATTAAACAAATCAACTTTTACAAATCATCTTTTACAAATCAATTAAACAATCAAAAAATAAGCAATAATTCTTATTTCCTCATCTACTATTGAATCAACTTTTGCAGCCATACATCATTTTCACGCAGCTCACTTCT